GGATCATTGTAATGCATGTGCTCATGTTTCGATTCATATTACTCATTATTATATATGTTCATGTGAGTGCATGCTGCCATGTATCAATGCACTGCACATATGCATACGAACATGTACCATTCACGGCCACTGACACTCCCACACGTACATGAAGGCACATACATACGAATCCACTGCACATATGCATCTCTCTCTCTCTCTCTCTCTCTCTCTCTCTCTCTGTGCGTGTGTGCATGCGCTGCGTGCGTGCATATGTGTATATTTGTAGATAGATGATAATATTTGAGGCTGCTTTGTTTATCCATTATGTTAATATATGGTTTATTTTTGTTTGATCCTTTCAGGTTTTCTTCAGGATTTAGCATCTGGCGCCTTGAGAATTGTCTGCATTTTATGCACATGCTTCCACTGAATGCCCTCCGAAAACTGTTCTCTGCGATTTGCGTGATATTTTACGTCGTAGCCCAACGCAGCAATCAAATTCGATCAATATTCCCAGCCTAGATATTTCCATGAAAAATAATAATGATATACGAGAGGCTGATCTGGGTGTGACTTCCTATGGGTGGGATATGCTTAGGTCGATTTCAAAATCCAGTAGTTACTACATGTCCACCCCGCATTTTGAAAGAATTTGGTGGGATAAGGGCTCTGATCATAGAAAACCTGTTTCGATATGGCGACCGCTTCCACGTCCTGGTTTTACCATTCTTGGTGATTGTATAACTGTAGGGTGAGATTGGTATTTGTGGATATAATTTCTTTTTTCTTCTTATCAGTTTTGAATCTTCTGAATCAAACAATCTCTTGTATTTTCTTGTTTCTCAGATTGGAACCTCCTACTTTAGGCTTAATGTTTAGGAACGATACTAGTGGGCTTTCTGCTAAGCCTGTGCAGTTTACCAGAATTGCTCATGTAGTGGGGAAAGGGATTGAAGAAGCTTTCTTTTGGTTCCCCATCTCTCCTCCTGGTTATGCTTCTATGGGTTGCATAGTGTCAAGGACAGATGCCATGCCATGTGTGGAATCCCTCTGCTGCCTACGAATGGATCTTGTTAATCAGGCGAACATTTCTGATGAAGCCATTAGTAAGGGTTCTAGTTCTAGCGGTTCCAACAACTGGAGCATTTGGAAAGTTCAAAATCAGGTGTTTATTAATATATTCTCACTCTAGTTTTGCCTCTTTCATTAGGATGGTGCTTCATACATCGTTGGGTTTTAATTGGAATCCATGTGTTGTGTGTTCTTAGTTTATTCATTGTCTTTTGATTGTTGTAGGATTCCTTGTATCCATCTGATTGCTGCTTCATAAATAGCACTTGACATACATTGTGATTGGAGCTTACATCTTCTTTTGCAGGCTAGCACATTCCTTGCAAGATCTGACCTGAGGAAACCATCTAGCCGTTTGGCTTATAGCATAGCTGATTGTGTGAAACCCAAGTCTCGACAGAATATCAGTGCTGAAATGAAGTTAAGATGCTTTTCTTTGACAGTCCTTGATGGCCTCTATGGGATGGTATGTCCCTTCATAATAAATGATTCCGTATCTATATGTAGGGAACTCCTTTTGACATTTAAACTTTGCAGATGACACCACTATTCTACGCAACAGTTTCGAATCTTAACCTTGTGACAACTGGCCGCTTAGAGGCCATGAATGCAGTATCGATCTCTTCCATAGGTGCATGAACATTCAATTCTCAATTGGAAGCATGGGAGCCTCTTGTTGAACCATTTGATGGCATATTCAAGTAAGGGTTACCTGTGGCCATATCATGATTTTTGTGTTTTCTTTTGCTATCGTGTGTAATGCCAGTTACATTTCTCATCATTTCTTTTAAGTATTGTCTTGCAATCTTGTTTATGATGAGCCATTTTAGGTCTAGCATTCACTTAATTTCCTAAATTGTTTTTCCTTCTTTTGTCCTTTGGAGGTATGAATCATATGAAAGCAATATTCATATGCCTTCCAGAGTTGGAAAACGAGTGCGGATTGCTGCAACAAGCACTGTGAATCTTAATATCACTGCTGCTAATCTTGAAACTTGTGTGGGGTCTGTAGTTTCTTGGAGAAGACAAGTTGAGTTAGAGGAAAAGTTGATGAAAGCCACTGAGGTTAGCTATGGCATATAGGTTTTCAACTTTTGTCTTCTGATTTGTATCATTCTACTGAATGATAGTGAATTCATGGTTGTATGTAATTGCAGGAAGCAGATAATGGTCAAGGACAGTTAGATGGTTCAACTTGTTTTGCATTGGAAGAAGATGATTTTGGGAAAGTAATTATAGAGAATAAGCTTGGATGTGATATTTATGTTAAAAAATATGTTCAAAACTCAAAGGAAATTGAATCATTAAAGCATGAAGAGAGTACTTCAGCTTGGCTACCACCACCCAGGTTCTCAGATAGGTTTAATTTTGCGACAGAGATGAGGGAAAACCACCACTATGTGACCGTGCATATCCTTGACTCTAAGGTCATATATTTTGAAATTGTTGATGATCTCTTTATCCATTTTGAGAATCTGTTTGAATCTATATTTTTCTGTGATATATCTGCAGGGCTTGACTTTATTGGATGATGGTAATAAACATGACTTCTTCTGTGCTTTACGCTTGGTGTCTGCTAGTCAAGCTATGGATCAGCAAAAGCTATTTCCTCAGAGTGCAAGAACTCGATGTGTCAAGCCTCTGATCTCAGAGAACAAGAGTGAACTCCAAGGAACTGTTAGGTGGAATGAACTATTCATCTTTGAAGTTCCTCAAAAGGTATGTACATGAGTTTAATGATCTCTTATAGGTTGCCACAATTTGATTTTTGGGTTCTTTCTCATTTTCCTGTTGTCATCATTTGTCTGTTACCATTTTTTGTGTTTTAGGATTCACTGAACTGAGGCATGTCAGAAGCCAAATAAATAGACCACTGGAATTTGTGTGGACTGCTATGTGTTCAGAAGCTGAACAGATCATAGAAATAACTGGACACTACATAAAAACGGTTTCAAGAAACTGTTATTTCTGAGGTTTACTGACCTGTTCACTAGTTAAGTGGATTGTAGATATGTCTGGGAAAATGAAATTGACTTTCACGATCTGATATCTGCATTGATCTAAATCCTGGGGCATAAGATTAGTGAAGGCAATATTTGATATAAATGGAAAACCATCTATGTGAGCCTTATGAAATGCATTGATAAAACTTTAAGGAGTTTGAAATTATATTGAATGCATATACCATGGTCATGCAAGATCGAATTGTACACTTACTTCCTCAAGCCAAAAAAAAACCTAGTTGCGAGGCTTCGTTTTATCAGAAATTTTGTGATCCACCTAAGAATCACCATATGATTACTTTTTGGAAAAAAATGAATTTTGAGTTCTTCAATACTTAAATCTGACCCTCCCAAAATTGGACAGTCTCAATTCAACCTTGGGACCATTTTTTTAGGCACATAAACAAGTGCAGCCAGAATTTTTTTTTTTTTTTTTTTCTCCCTTTTCAGGTTAGTCACTAGGTTAAAGAGGCCACATCACCAAAATGTTTTGGTCCTAAAAGTATTTCTAGATTGGGTTTTACATGAGGGAGTAAATGGACAGTATGCTCCCACCGGAGCACGAAATGACAGTTACTGGAGTTTCTGCCAATCCATGTGATATCTAGAAAGCTTATGCCCTGACATGGTGGTGTCAATGAATCTTTAGGTTTGAAATATTTAGTCAAGTGAATCTGAAAAACGATACATTTAAATAATACTTAGTTACTTCTTCCAAGGAAAATCAGAGATAGGCCACACACATGACCCATACTTTGCAAATAAAATTAAATAAGGAAAATTTGATATAAGGTTGCAATCTATATCATAAATTTGAAAAATCCATCATAAAAAAATTCATCGTAAAAAACTTTGAAATACCCTTTTTATCATAAATTTTGTGATCCAGCTTAGAATTACTATATGATTTCTTTTTGGAAAAAAATGAATTTTGAGATGTTCAATACTTAAATATGCTTTTTCAAATATAGGATAGTCTCAGTCAATCTTGGGGCTCTTTTTTTAGGCACATAAGAAAGTGCGACCTGAATTTTTTTTTTGTCCTTTTCAGGTTAGTACTAGGTTAAAGAGGTCAGTCACCAAATATTTTGGTCCTAAAAGTACTTGTAGATTGAGTGTTACTTGAGGGAGTAGATGGAGAGTATGCCCCTGTCGGAGCACGAAATGGTAGTTATATTTACCTGGAGTTTCTACCAATCCATGTGATATTTAAAAACTACATGTCCTAACATGCTGGTCTCAATAAATCTTTAGGTTTTAAATATTTAGTCGAGTCAATCAAAAAACGATACATTTAAATCACAGGTAGTTACTTCTTCCAAGGAAAATAAGAGATAGAGCACACACTTGATCCTCAATTAGCAAATAAAATTAAATAAGGAAAACATTTATATAAGGTTGCAACCTTAAAATGTAGAATTAAGGTGCATCTAAAAATCCATCATAAAAGACTCTTTTGAAGTTGGAAAATCCTATAGTTGATCATCTCGACATCGAGATGTATGAACATGGAAAAATAAAATAAAATGATTATGTTCAAAAAATAGTGTAGTTTGCAACATATTATCTAAACTGTCGATTTTCACGATTTTCTTATGTTTATAGATCTACTTCATTTGAGTCAATTTTGGAGACTAAAATTTTGTAATTAGTGATGAAAATGGATTCTAGACTTCAGTGGGCTAGCCATGTGTGGCGCCGACCTAGTACAACAATTGTTAGGAGGTGCGAGTTAGTTCAAGTGGAAGACCAATCCATGTGATATCTAAAAAGCATATGTCCTAACATGCTGGTCTCAATAAATCTTTAGGTTTGAAATATTTAGTCGAGTCAATCTAAAAACGATACATTTAAATAACAGGTAGTTACTTCTTCCAAGGAAAATAAGAGATAGAGCACACACGTGATCCTCAATTAGCAAATAAAATTATATAAGGAAGACATTTATATAAGGTTGCAACCTTAAAATGTAGAATTAAGGTGCATCTAAAAATCCATCGTAAAAGACTGTTTTGAAATTGGAAAATCCTATAATTGATCATATCGACATCGAGATGTATGAACATGGAAAAATAAAATCAAATGATTATGTTCAGAAAATAGTGTAGTTTGCAACATATTATCTAAACCGTCGATTTTCAGGATTTTCTTATGTTGATAGATCAACTTCATTTGAGTCATTTTTGGAGACTAAAATTTTGTAATTAGTGATGAAAATGGATTCTAGACTTCAGTGGGCTGGCCATGTGTGGCACCGACCCAGTATAACAATTGTTAGGAGGTACGAGTTAGTTCAAGTGGAAGGACTGAAGAGGGCAAGGGGGGGGCCCAAAAAGATGTGGTTAGAAGTAGTCTTTTCAAAGCAAGGGGTAGGCCCAAAAAGAGGTGGTTGGAAGTAATCCGAAAAATATGGGAACTTATGGCTTCACTGAGGGTATGGCATTTAATTGAGCAAACTGGCGGACCAGGATTTGTGTAGCCGACCCCAAATAATTGGAAAAAGGCTATGATGATTATGAGCGATGAAAATGGATTCTTAGTTCATCCTAAGAATCTTCTACACCAAAATTACATCTTATGATAAAATTTGTGGTGCACCTTACTTGATTGTTTAAGGTTGCAACCTTGTGCAAACCCCACCCATTAAATAAAGCATGCCAAAGATTTGCACATATAGTCGCAACCTTTTACACATGGAATTATGGATTGCTGACTTCCAATTCTTGATGACCTCTAACATCTGTAGCGAAAGTCTTCCAAATTATTCTACCATACCTATGCTGATTACCTTCCTAAACTTTCTTTATAATTATGTTTTCTTACTAAGTAGGGAAATACAAACCCAACAATTTTGTTGTATAGAATTTGTGTTGATTATATCCGTGTTCCGCGGTCCATGATAAATTAGTTCATTTCCAGCTGGGGATGTCGTGGAGCAGATTGTAACATCTGATAACTCTGATTGAAAATATGCAGGGACCACCAAATTTAGAGGTAGAAGTCACAAATCTTGCTTCAAAGGCAGGGAAGGGTATGTATTATTTGAAGTTACATTGCTTTACCAAATGAAGAATGAGTTTCATGCATGTACAATTTGTTTGTTGCTTTTATTTGAGAATGAGTTTTCTTATTTCTTTTTTCGTAATTTGTTATACTGGTCCTCACCATTTGTATACTAGTTCTTTACATTTATAAGTAGATTGCTCTAGGATGGAGGGCGATAAATTCTGCCTTTCATTGAACTTGCAGACTTTGATTTCTTAAAAGGAGTTTTAGAGCTTCAAGGATGCATGTACACATGTGCACACACTTGTTTGTGTATGTATAAATATATTTATATACAGCCATTCATGCTTACATTCAACCGCATACTCTGGCGTGCACAAACACCTGAGAGCATGCGAATGATTGCTGTCCACAAAATTGCCCATTCTATTCCGTGTTTGTGTATGTAGCTTGTCATGGTTATCTATGTTTTCTTCATTTATTGACTTACTTTTCGCATTATTATACTCTATGTGGGTATCATCAAATTCATTGAGAATCCATCCATTCCAAGAATATATTCTTCACTCATTGAGTGGGAGACAAATCGTAATCATAGGTTTCGATTCAAATTGTGCAGCGGATCAACAACAGTTGATGAAAACCAATGTTCTTGTTGGAACTTGGAAACACTTAATCAAGTTTTGAAATTATGATCTCCATGCCTGTTCTTTTTGTAAAATATGATAGGTACAACTTTTAGTAAATCATCATCAAGGCCTTATCCGAACTATTTGGGGCCGGCTACATGAATCTTGTTCCATCAATAACATAGGTTTAGGATTCATGAAAAGATGTGGCAAACTTTTGCTCTGGCTTCTTTGCCTAATACAACCCTCCTCCTTTAACCAGGCTTGGGACCGGCCATGGCGGGGTTTACATCTTTCGGTAATTATATGATGCAATTCCTGTAAAATTGTGACAAATGTGATGTATACAACTCTTATCAGAATTATACAACTCATCTGAAATACTACCCTATCTGTAAAATTATGTAAGTAAAGCTCAATCCAGTTAAAGAGCTCCATAATATAACTATATTTTGATGACACCAAAAGGCATCGAACTTACATGATCCCTCTGTTTGATAATCCGTAGTTTTCTTGGCTGTCCTTTATTTCATTTGCTTCTTTTGACCTCCCCTCTTCCATATTCATTGACAATGTCCATTGCTTTCTTAGAACCCCTTCAATCTCAGTGTGTAGTTTTTTATGATTTTATGTGATACTTTTATCATTACATTTGGCTGCCCTTGTTCATTATCTCTTCCATTATCCTTCATAAAGACTTCCACATTGCAAGCGTGAGTGAAGTCTAAAGACATGCATATATCTCTCAGATCATTATGGGTTCACATTTTTGCACAACCACCTATTAGTGCTAGTAATTTCTTCCTATTATTCTTCTTCACTTCCAAAATCAACTTTTATTGACTTGCCACCATGAATTTTTAATCTCTGCCAATTTATGTGTGTTTCTTTGAGAAGCTTATGCTATGTTTAGTTCCTTAATAAACTGCAGATTTTTTTCCATCAATGCACTGAAAATGACATCCTTCCATGAGTCAGAAGATCGAACATGGGAGAGCAGGTAATTCGCAAATTGCAATGTATTCTTAGCATACTTTATAGAGTCAATTAACCATGGCACAATAATGGGCCAAACAAACCCCTCCTTGTATTGATGTAGCAGTGAATTCCTAAAGATGTTGGGTGTTGGGCTCTTCTCCCGAAGGACTTCCCCATGCTTCTAATGGAAATTCCCTTCCTTGGACCATTGCGGATCTTCCTTTTCCGTAAGGGCTTCTCTTTCCTATGTGAATTTTTGCGTAGATAACTTGTTTCCTTTTGGCTTTCTTCCTATCTCCTTGTGTCGTAGCTTGTTTGCTATTAAAAACCTGCTCCTTTAGTATCAGCTTTTGTTGAAGGTACAAAATTTAGAAGTCCATCATAGAGACTTAAGACACCATGTCTATTTGCTAGCTTGTGAAGAAACCTAAGATGAGAAACATTCGCTAATCTTTTATTACAATACTCTAGAACATGTTTGGAGAACATTTAGGATTAAACTAAGGCTAGTTATCTATAAATTCAGCAGGTATCCATCCATAAAACGGAGTAAACAAACTTGCAAAAATCAAACTATTCCGAAATTTATTTTAAGAGAGAATATATAATGAGACCATTTACCTTTGGCACAAGGTGGTCACAATTAATCTTGACCATTGGATGTGAAATTGGGGGCTGCATTTATTTCATTGACCAAGCTCAAAGTTCGAAAGAAATTTTCTCAAACTTTGCAAAACACCCGAGCTATCAGATTTCACATTGGATGGTTATACGTAATTGTGACCTCCTTGTACCAAAAGCAAATGGTCTCATTGTATACAATCCCTTATTTTAATGTCTGAGATATTGAATCCATAATGGATTGAAATATGTCCTTGAAGTGAAATCTCAACAGGCTTTTCATTGCATTTCCAACTGGAAATTTGATGGTGACAAGTAATGCCAAGTTACCAACATAATCTTGTGTTATTTCAGGTGTGTGTGCTTTTTCTTGTATTTTGTTCTATGAAACTAACGAACAGATTCTCCATTAATACCATTGACATCAGATGCATGACTGTAGTTTTCACCTTGCAATCTTGACTTTCTGAAAATTAAGTACCACTTTAAGGCTTTGTTTTTAATGCTAGATCTTCTGATGGACCCACATTTGCTTAGTACTTCACACAATTGTTGGAACATATTCAGCCAATGTTGAAGGCCTGCTCAACGACAAGATCTCCTTCAAGGGGTTCGTACGCAGGTATGCAAATTGATTGATTCTTCGCTCACCGTCAAACCTAGCATGTTTTGTAATTAGAAATTGTTCTTTACTGTCAGCTCTACATGTAAAGTGTAAATATTTATCGAACCTTTCGAGGCTAGGCTACTCATTTATTGTCAATTCAAACGGGTCCATTTTGATTATTCTTCATGCACATGATTGCTTATTGCCCCACAACATATGCATGAGATAATGATTTTGTGGCTAGTTGTATTTATTGCTTGCACTGAATACTCATAGAGGGGAACCATGTCCGCTCCTCTCAAACCCAAACTAGACACTTAAAATGGTTGGTTGATCCTCACTTTGAGGTGGCATTTCATTTAGGGACGGTCGCCGCTAGTCATGGGAAGAAGAGGGAAGCATCTCCAGTAAGAAACAAAGTCTGTCTTTTTGACAGAGAGAGAGAGTGCTGATCAGGGACGCTTTAGGATCTCATAAATTTGGTCTATGTTGGCATTGGTGTGTGGTGAGTGGGGAAGAAAACATGCAAAGTGGTATTTTAATGGAAAAGTAATTGACATGGCAGGGCATCAGCCTAGAAGGAGTGGTGCTTCATTTCTTTACGGTTGGTCAGTCGTCCACATTGGAGTTTGAGGACACTACTTAGGAAATGTAGCTCCGAGATAGTGAACCCACCGTATAGCTCCGAGATAGTGGACCCCCGGTATATGGCGATCTGATAGAGATTGGGGAAAATTGAATGGATGGGATCATAGTGAAGCCATTTATCTTTCTTTAACGTATCATCGAAGCTTCCTTAGTAGGAATCTCATGGTCAAAACGTGGGTCGGTATTTTTAAATTTTTAAAAGAAAAGATCGTTAAATATAAAAGTTATTAATGCACATAGCAATTTTTATCTTTACCATAATATAAAGAATATTAAAAAATACATTATAAATTAAATTCTTTGAAAATTTATATATATTTTTTTGAATTTTTTTTTGAAATACCGGTCGATCACCAAAACCACCCAAAATCCGAATCGGCACTTGGCCGGTTACAATCTAACCAGATGATTAACGGTTAGATTGCCTTATTTTTTTTACAATGGTTTACAACCATGCACGAAGTAGAGCCATGTTCATATCTTATAGGCCTTTGGATTCATTATTCTTTTGATTTGCATAATCTCCCAATTCGCTAGATGGAATTTGTTCCTCAATCTAGCCTGGCCTAAAGGAAGTTCTTCATGAGCCTTTTATTTAGAAACGCATGCTTTCGGCATAGGCAAAAGTGACCTAGTACGTTGTGCAATGTACTTGCCTGCAGTGAACTTCTTTGTCGAAGCCATCGCTTCGAACCCTAGGCTTCCATTTGAAATAAGAAGAATCTCCCTCACAGTGTTGTGACATGAGCTAGGCGATCAATTAGAAACTCCCTTCTTGTTAGAGGAGATCAATGTGGCAGTCCTTACCTATAGATAAATCTCTTGGAACGGCCTCCTCATGACTTTTTTCCACCTCTTTTGGGACTTGATCAGTGATTTTGTCTACCCTCATCACCGTTCAAAGTTTATCGTGCGGTTACGATTGTCTGGTAATGTTTCATTTTTCATTTTTTTTCTACAAATCAGAATGACCTGAAATTTGGAACCTATATTCATCAAAAATAGGGGAATCTTTGAAAAATATAAAAAGAACGAAAAAATTGACCAAAATGCTCCCAAAAAGTTTCGGAGGTATTTTGGTACTTTTTTTACGGATAATTTTTTTTTATATTTTTATTAGATGTGCCTCAATAAGATGTATATACCTTCCAAATTTTAGGTCATTCCGATTTGTTAAAAAAAAATGAAAAATAAAAACTATCGAACAATCGTGACCACGCGATGAAATTTGGATAGTGATGAGGGTAGGCGAAATCACTATTCATTTTTGCCTATAGATGTTGAGAACACTATCGGACATCTGTGATCGTCAGATCGGCCCAAATTTAATATGAGTCGTTGGGCTCATATGTTCATATGAGCTAGTGGGTTAATCCCATTATTTCTTTTATATATATATATATATATGCGCGTTTGTGCCTTGCCCATGTAAAATGGAAAAAGGAAAAGTTGTTCATATGAATTAAACAAAATGCAATGGTTAATTAAATACAATACTTACTTATTTCCTAATGTTCAATTAAACTAACTTAATGCCCAAATATCCTCAAATTGGTCATCGTGATACATGGGCATGAGAGAAAAAAATGGATTTCAACTTTTGGTGCAACTTGTAATGCATTTTTTGACCGTCAATTTTCAAGTTTTTTAAGTTTTCATAGATTTGCTCAATCTACATTGTTTTTTAAGCTTTTCATAGATTTGCTCGATCCAAGAAAGTGTAGAAATCCATTGTAATTTTTATTGTGATAGTGGATTTCTACTTGTCAAGGCCATGGATGTAATCCTACAGGGTGAATCACGTAAATACTAAATAGAAGTTTTTGATAAAATATAATAACCAAAATACCCTTTCAAACTTTCAAGCGTATTTTGATCATTTTAATATTTTATACAAGTGCGAGTTTAAGAGAGAAGTGGATGCCCAAAATTCGGTGTATAAATATTTTGTAGAAGAAATTAAAAATAAAATAATGTAGAGATGTGATATTGTGATTAGGGCCATCTCAACCGTCTAGAATGGACGATTGGATAAGAGGAAGTATATAAGTTTTATGTTGTGGAGGAAACATAGCTAGAAAGAAATAACTAAAATAAAGTGGAGGGCATATTGAATCACCCCAATTAGTTGGAAAAAAGCTTTGAAGATGACGATAGTAAATTGAGTCAAGATGATAGATACATCAAATCTAGCTTCCCCTTAAACTTAATACTCAATTTAAAAATGTGCTAGTTATGTTCACAAAGAAAACCGTGGAAAATGATTTATTTTATCAATGGCCACATTAGCTTTTTAAATGTCGAAATCAGAATTTCCCCTTATTATGAGAGAGACTGTAAGCAAGGGAATATGTCTTTGTAGATAGAGATTGCAGGCCGGAGACGAAAGCTTTGGAGTTAGAAAGAAAAAAGGGAAAAAAAAGGTCTTTAATAGTATAAAAAGTGACACGATATATTGATTACTCACCCGATCATTTCCCTAAAGGCAATTGTACCATGTTCCAAGTCCAACAGTCGTTTTTAGTGTCATCGTTTGAACAACTCCAAAATTTTTCGAATAGGGTTTGTACCATCTTCCAAATCCTGTCAATTCCATAGAAGAGGCGGAATCCGAAATTGCAAACAACTTACCCCGAGCTAACCTTCTTTTCATTTTTTCCCCACAACCACCTTTCTTCGCAAATACCCCTCAAGTAAAAAAAAAAGAAAAAAGAGACTAAACTACCCCTCTCTCTCCTCGTGACTTTTATCCATGACTCTCTCCCCATGCGTTTTACCCATGCGCTCCAGCAATGCGGAGATTTACTCCGGCAATGAAGACACACGCTCTAAGTCGCTTCGGCAATGAAGACACGCGCTCCATCAATGCAGAGGGTCGCTCCGGCAATGAAGACACGTGCTCTAGCAATGGAGAGGGTCACTTTGGCAATGAAGATACATGCTCTAGCAATGCAGAGGGTCGCTCCGACAATGAAGACATACGGTTTAGCGGTTGAATAGGTCGCTCTGACAATGAAGACAAGCGCTCCGGCAATACAAAGATGCGCTCCAGCAGTACACCTTCTAGAGCCACATCGCTCCGGCGGTTGAATTGGTCGCTCCAACAATATGCTACTTGGGATTGCCAATTGACTTTTTTTATACTGGAAGGGCATTTCCATCCAAAAAATATCAACTTTTTATCTTGGAGGGTTTTTGCGAGGAAAGGTAGTTGTGGGGAAAAAAGTGAGAGGAAAGGTTAGCTGGGGTAAGTTGCATAGATAATATACTTGGGGGAGGGGGTTTTATAATTTTCCCTTTTAATTTAAAAAATGCGTCTTACTTTTTGTTTATATGGGAAAATATCTTCATATCCCCTATTTTTAGGTTTCATTTCTTGATAAACCCAAGATGTCAAAAGATATCTTCAAATCTCTTAGTCACTTTAAACCTATTTTTTAACCTAAACAAATGTGAGTAAGACATACTCTTTCTAAACCCAATCTTTTCTCTCTCTTCACTTATCTACCCCAAATTTATCTCTTTATCTCTCTTCATGCATGTCTCACTTCTCTCCTCTCGTGTTCTTCCAAACACATCTCTCTCCTCTTGGTCCTCTCCCGCAGCCCTTCTCTCCCTCTAGAATTTTGGGAGGATGGCTTTTATAAAAAAAAGGGAAAATATCTCCTTATCCCCCATTTTTAACTTTCATATCTCATGAGACCCAATAATTGAAAATATTACTTATAAGCAAAAGGTCTCCATCTTTTCTATCTTACAACCCCGTAGACCCTTTTGACCATAAATTTTTGACCCAAACAAAAATGACACCCTATTTAAAATATACTTATGCTCCAAGATATCTTTTAAAACCTTGGATCTATTGTGAAATGAAAGGGAATATGAAGATATTTTCTCTTCTTTTAAATTTTTTTTATTTTTTATGATCTATAGGGTAGTACAATACCTCAAAAATGTGTATTTTTGATGTGCTGATATCTAATCGCCTCACATGTCAAGATCTATTTTAAGGAAGGTTTAAAAAAAAATAGATTGGTGATCCGGATCGGCCATTTCAAAAACTATGTTGGATTGGTGGATCGACAATTTGGATCAGAGAATAGGCCGGATTTGGCTTCAAAATTTTTAAAAAAAAAATCACTATAAATTCCTAAAAATAGCGTTCTTTGAGTTTCAAAAAAACTTTATAGTTGTTTTTTTTTTTTTTTGGACAGAAATTAGATATTATATTAAAAATCTAAAAAGATATTACAGAGTCAAAGACCAAAGTCTCAGATAAAAAGGTACTCCCTTTTGCAAGAAATCTGTCAACCCATAAACATGCACAAAGAAACTAGCAATGTCTCAAATTTGTACCAACACCGATC